GGATCGAACAGGAGGAGGAGGACCGCTAGCCGCAGTAGGGGGCCATCTCCTCCCACGCCACGTGAGGAGGACCGCCAGCCGCAGGAGGAGGTGGCGCCCGTGGACGAGTCAGACGAGGAGTTGGTTCGGCAGACGGAGGAGGAGGAGGAGGGGGGAGGAGGCGGCAGGCACGGGTTCCGCTTCCTCCAACTCCTCTTCGAGTGTCTACTTGCGAGATCCCGCGAGCCTCCCACAGGTTCCGCTTCCTCACCAACGCCCAGTGATTCGCCCCGAAGGACAAAAGTAAGTAACTGTATATGTTATCACCACTACTTCATATGATATGATGAAAAAAACTAATAATTTTTCTTAATCACTTGTGCAGGAACTAGGTGGTTGTGTCGGGTGGTAGCGCACGGCTAGTCAACGGCATCCTGGGTCTTCTGTGCAGGCAGCACTTCCCCGGCATTGTCACGTACGCATCGAAGACGGAGCCGGCCTACTCGTTTGACCACTACGTCGTCGCCTCCGATGCGGAGTACCCCAACAAGGCGGCGCGGGTGAAGGCAGAGTTTTGGGTAAGTCTCCCTTGCACAACATTGCTCAATACGTCGCATTCATTGGACTTTTCTTGAAATAATGAATGGATACATCGCTTTTGTATGCAGATTTATTACAGATGCGAGGAGGGATTTGAGGCCAGGGCGGAGCAGGCGACTACCAAAGCCTGTAAAAAACTCGTCACCGACATATATCATGAGGCGTGCATCCAGGCCATCGTAACCTACTACGGGTCGAAGCTTGGAGAGAGGAAAACCAAGAAAGACGCAAGAGAGATGCAGCTGACCCGGGAGTAGTACCTTGAGGTAAATGAAGAACATCAATATTGATTCATTTTGAGATTAAGTTGGTTTAATTTGATCTTCTTATATGTCCAATACTTGATGACGTGTAGGTGATTCCCTGGTGGTGCCAAGCGTATCCCGAGTGCTGGGCGATGATGGTGGACAGGTGGTTCACGGAGGAGTACCTCAAGATGCACAGGGATGCCCGAGACCATCGTTTACTGATGCAAGGTCCAGCACACCATCAAGGCAGCCGCAACCTCGCCGGATACAAACAAGCATGGGTACGCGAATTGATTTATCTATTGTCACGCTCAGTTCTGTCTAATTTCTAATCATCGTGCTGTCTTTCTCGCAGTCAGCGTCACATAGTGGCCAGGCTCGCTCAGACTTCCAGGCATGGTGTATGGCCCACAAGGGCAAGGCGACGTCCAACGTCTCCTTCAACCCGGAGGACCCGCCCGAGGCATACACGAACCCGAGCGTCCACTCCCGCATTAGTGAGTACACTGAGGTGGCGAGGTCGCTCCATGGGGCAGACCACGATCCGAGCACCCAGGACTTCGATGGAGAGGCCGTCATGAGGGCGGGGCAAGGCAAGAAACATGGGCGGTTCTGGCTTGGCGACGGCGTCATCGACACGGCCTCTACTCCCTCTCTCTCCCAGATCCGAGCACGGAGCACGAGCGAGAGCCCGGCCATTCGCACACTGCCGACCGCTGCACAGCACCGGGTCAACGCACTCGAGGTTATTCCTGTTTTACTCGTCATACATTGATCTTTACACACCTTAATTAGCTTTGCATTACTAAAACATTGGAGTGAAATATTGCAGGCTCGGCTGGAACAAGAAATGAAGGAACGTCAGGAGTTGGGGGCCCAGCTGGAGGCCGAGCGGGCCGAGCGGCAGGCCCAGGCGCAGAGGCTGATGGACATTACGGATTTCCTACAAGGGCTTAGGCAACGTATGGGCTTGTCTCTGCCACCTGGGCTGTTGGTTCCACCTCCGCCTCCGCGTCCTGTAGCTGCAGCTACTCCTATGAGTATCAAAGTTTTTTACTTTCGCTTGTGCTTTACTTGTATGGCCTCTATCGTCCTAGATTAGCTATCAAAATAATCTTGTCTCACATGCAATCTTTTCTCCTTTGTGCAGTCTCCATCTGACGGTGGTTCGAATAATCCACCTCATGCACCTACGAATGATGCATCTGGGCCTTCACCACAGTCGCAGTGGCCGAGATGAGTGCATGTTGTATTTTTTACATTTGTTGTTCACTTGGTGATGGACTTGTGATATACTTGTGATGCACTTGTGGACTCTGATGGACTTGTAAACTTATTTGGATGGACTTGAGCACTTATTATTATATATTGTGATGGATGTGATATGGGCAGATGGATGTGTGGATGGATGAGATATATATATGATGGATGAGATATATATGTGATGGATGAGATATATATGCGATGGATGAGATATATATGTGATGGATGAGATATATATGTGATATATGTTTGTATGAATGTATTTGTCATGATGGAATGCGAAAAAAAAAATTTGCCGTTTTGGGTCACTTTGCCGAGTGTTGCACTCGGCAAAGGACCCCTTTGCCGAGCGCAATGGTCACAACACTCGGCAAAGCCGGCAAAATGGGTGACCAGAAAACAGATTTTCCAGCTTTGCCGAGTGATGTGACTATAACACTTGGCAAAGAAATTAAAAAAAAATTAAACTTTGCCGAGTGCCTGGCGTGTTGGCACTCGGCAAAGAAAATTTTCAAAAAAAATAAAAGCTCTTTGCCGAGTGTCTTCCGGGTTGGCGCTCGGCAAAGAATTTTTTAAAAAAAATAAAAAATCTTTGCCGAGTGCCTGGAGGGTTGGCACTCGGCAAAGAAAATTTTCAAAAAAAAATAAAAGCTCTTTGTCGAGTGCCTCACGGTTTGGCGCTCGGCAAAGAATTTTTTTAAAAAAACTTTGCCGAGCGCCTCACGGGTTGGCACTCGGCAAAGAAATTTTAAAAAAATTAAAAAATCTTTGCCGAGTGCCGGGTTGACACTCGGCAAAGTGACCGTCAACGGGACCGGCGCCATGACGGTCGCTTTTCTTTGCCGAGTGTCCGATAAAATACACTCGACAAAGAGTGCTTTGCCGATCAATTTTTTGTCGTGTGTGCTTTGCCGAGTGCCGCACTCGGCAAAGGCTTTGCCGAGTGCAATCTAGCCTTTGCCGAGTGCCTCAGGCACTTGGCAAAGAACCTGAATCCAGTAGTGTCTCCCGAAGTGTGCCTTCCTCGGGGTGGACGACAGGTAGAACCCACTCACCCCAAGTGTCATCCTATGAGGGTCCATTTTCTCCCATTTGTCACTTTCTCTCTCCCACCCTTCCTACCTCTTCTCCTTTACTCTCTCTCTATATTGCTCTCTCTCAGAGGGTGTGGGTGGCCTCCAGCCTGGTGTGGTTCCCCGGTGCGTTGGCCTCTGGCATGGCAGCCCAACGTTGAGGGAGGCTCCATGGCTCAGTGGCCCCAACACGTGCGGCCTTTGGCGTGGTGCCCCTATGGTCGGGGGGGAGGGGGGGCAGCGCCCTTCTAGCCTGATGGCATGCGACCCCAACGTGGGCGGCCTGGAGTGGCCGCCCCAGCGTGTAAGGACTTCGGCGCATCCCCGCGTGGTGCTCCGTCAGCGCGGCCTAGAATGGCATCTAGGCGGCGCGGGTGGACTCTAGCATGGCCCTGGAGTGGCATCCTAGCGGTGCATGCGACACCTAGCGCGGTGGCCCTTCTGCATGGGCTCGATGGTGGGCTGGTTCGTGGGCCAGTGGGCTCATCAGCGTAGGTGACTGCTTTTTTAGTTTTACATATCACTAGATGAGTAGTGCCCGTGCGTTGCAACGGATGTAACATAAATTGAATGAGACGTTATTATTTGCGGTGATTGTTTGTCTGCCGGTGATTCCGTGAGTTTTATTCCATTTTATTTACTTGCCTTCCAGTGTCTCTATGCGCGATAATTATTTGCTTGCCGGATATGGATAGCATGAGATGCGGTGATTATTTGCCTGCCGGATATGGATCGCATGAGTGTTTTGGTCCTGCCGGGTAGATGTTGACAATATGAATGTTTTAGTTGTAGAGATTATCACTGCCGGGTTGAAACAGCATTAATATGATCCGACGGTGATGATCATGGCTGGTATCAATGTCCACTTTCACCAACGACCGGCAAAATCGGTGGTGACAGGGGTTTCCAAGCGGCGGTGATGATTCTGTAGTAGTGTAAGTTGCTTAGATAACCTTGCAATAAGGGGTGTGCTTCGTTACAACATATGAACACGTTTACTACTGATAACTAGTGGAGTAGCCTAGTTTCACAAGGAGTGTGTGTGTGCACGTGTGCATTCACCAAGTGCACTATTGCTCAAGCACAGGAGGTGAGGTGATTTAAACAATTTGCCAATTAAGATGGATATGTACATTACTGATTGTTGTTTGGTTAGTAGAATATTCATCTAATTTTCATATGTAATTTGTCTTAACAGTTTTATTAATTTTTTGTCTTCAGCTTGGCAAAATGCTAGGGAAGAAAGTACCAAGGTCGACGAGATGCTTACCTTTGCCATCCATACTGCAGTTTTGGAAGAATGAATTACTAGCATTTTAATCCATCCCTCCAGTGGTAGAACTTACCATTCAAAATCAGGGGTTTACATTAGGAGTTGCAAATGAGTTCTCAACTATTATATATGATTTTTTTTACATAGACACATGCGTGTCACATGTGCTTGTCTACTTTTTTTTGGAACCAACGCTTCATTCATTAAGGTGATCATTACAATTGAACTGCAGACAATTCTGAAAGAAGCTAGGGCGGATTGCCAAACAAAATTAAGCAGAGAAACTAGGAGTGCTGGGCACATAGATGAGCCGCATGGTTCACTGATCTTCAGGGACATAGATGTGCTTGTCTACTAGTGTATATATACACATCTAAAACAGTAACAAACTCATATAAAGGCAGAAAAATCATTCAATTAGTAGAAGACTCATCAACGTACAGAAATAGGGGCAACCGATTCGTTGGTCCAGCAAGCTCCAAATAAAGCTAATTGGCGCAACAATACATATATATGCAAAATCATGAAACCCGAAAAGTACGACTGGCGTACACCTAGGCCTAGCTAGGTGCTGCAAACCACGTCCGGCCTGTTCTTGAAGGCGTCGTCATCCGACGAGTCCCCGCCGACGAGAAGCTGCGGGCAGTAGTACGTGGTCCGGCGAGAAGACGCGTTGAAGCCGGACGGTACTTCGGTGATTAGCGTGCCGTCCAACCGCATCGTGACGTCCCTGAAGAAGGTGCTGCCATTGCCGGAGTACAGCAAGTCGAAGTAGGACCTTTCCATGGTTCTTCTATTCGCTTTGATATTCACTGAGGAGACAACCGCCTTTTTCTGCTCCACCACTTTGTCTTTCACACGGAACGAGACGATGCAGTCGCTGCTCGGATGCAACGACGCCGCCGATACGTTCTTGTCGAAGAGGTACCCGGTGATGCCGACGTAGTACATCCGGGCGCGCCCGGCCGGGTTGTCCGCGCGAAGACCTAGCTGGAGAACCAGCATCGGCTGCGACGACGACTGGTTGATCCTCACCATTGGCACGCAGCCGCCGGAGACCGAGAAGAAGAGCGACTCTGGCCGGAGAACGACCTTGATGGCGTTGACGATGACGGCGATGATGAGCACGGCCACCACGGAGGCCACCACGTACCGTGCCGCGTCTATCCACCGGAATGGTGATTTCTCGGCGGCGTCGCCGTCCACCGGCGCCATAACTACGGCGGCGGCGTAACTGGCCTTGCTTGCTTCTTTTTATCTTCGTGTGTGTATATGGAAGCAATGGATATCGTTGGATAAGCCCTGTTCCATCACCTACACGGCCTACCTGTTTATATATATGAGTGGAGAGTACCATAGTTGGCTGTGAATAAGCTCTGCAGACCTACCTTGTGTTCTAGTGGTAAACAATTACAGTGCATTTTCGTATCTGCTTTTTTTCTACACGACCCACCTCCACACCACCAGTAGTTTTAATTTGCCAAATTTGATGTTCAGATGCAAACTATAAATTTATGCCATACTATGATACGATTTTGTGCGAAGGACGTTCATTCGCACCGCCAGTAATTTCTTGATGACGAAGTGAGTGAATTTCAGTAACGGGTGTGTGAACGAAAGTAACATATCATGCCATCATGGTGCGTAAATCTTATTTTTATTTTGTCATGTACACATAAAATTGTATATATTTCACACTTGCACCACGAATATTTCAAGAGTCACACATACATATATTGACCTACTACGTACGTACCTAATAATGTAAGTGAAAGCGAGCTAGGTTGGATATAATGCCTGTGATATACTTATGTGTTGCATTATATTGAGCTTCACGGGTGATTTTATGCAGAGTAAAAAATCCTTACTATCAACTTGTAGTATTAGTTAATATACCAGCACAGCCAAAGCCAATGCAAGATGATGAAATCTATCTATCTAACCCAGGAACGAAGCAAAGGAATCTTTGAGAGATGTGACTTTCGATATGAATAATATTATACGTGATGATTAAGTAAATAAATTGAACAATAGCGCAAGCTTTATTCGAAGTGTAAGCAGATGGTTTGAACTTTCCAATTGTTTAAGAGAAAAGGAAAAAATAAATAAAAGGGTCTGATTGTGCACATTGTTAAATGGAAAAGGAAGCAAGAGTGACAACGAACATCGCACAATCGGAATATTATACTTGCCCTTATTACCTCGAGAATCGTGCCAAACCTCTGTCCTTAACGTGCACTGTGGTGCGTGGATGCTGGATGTATGATTCCTTCCCTGCTTGCAAGGTTAAGCTGCCGGATCATGACATAACAAATTAGCTTCCATCCATGGATCGTTGCCAATCTATAAGGCCCGTTTAGTACAACTCAGCTTAATCAGTGAAATTGTTTTTTTTCTTGAAGCTGACCTGTTTTCTTAACCTCATTTGACAAAACAGCTTCTTAAGAGAGGAAAACAATAAAGTACTATAATACCCTTAGCATTTCGCTTTTCTTTCTCTACTTGCCATCTTCTTCCCATAGCCACCCAAAAAGACAGAGACGGCTGAACGGAGCTTGTGCAGTCGCGCGTGCTCTCCCTCCCAGCGGCCGCGCGAGCCCTCCTGTCGGCCGCGCATTCCGGTGGCCACGTGAGCACTCCCGACGACCATGTGAGCACTCTCAGCGCCCGCACGTGCCCTCTCGGTGGCCACGCGATGTTGGGCTAATCGTTATTGTGCACATGTATGTGACGTTGATGCAACGGTTGTCCAAGTCAAGGCAGTGGGCGGCAATTTGGAGTTTGAAAGAGGCCAGGGTTGTCAGGCGTGTGGTGAGCGCGCTCCCACGTCGTGCACTCGTAGGTAGTTGTGTTGAGTCACATTGTATCACTGTGTTAAGTGTATTACTTTCATATATAAGTGCGAGGCTAACTCCCGTTTGTGTTAGCGCGTGTGTTAAGGTGTGGTTAGCACCTGAGAACTCCACGAGTTCACCTTTGTACTGTCTAGAACAATCAGAGGAAAATAGCTCTGTCATCCGGCAGTTATCATGCTCTGTGTGTTCATCGCATTTCAATCTCGTGCGTTCTTCATTCTTGATAGGATAGCCACCTAAATTGATGTGTGATCTGTGATCTATAAGGCCTACATGCGAGCGCTCCTAGCTTCGTGCCCCAAGCGTTCGCGTCCCGGCCCACGCCCTGGCAGCGGCATGCCTGGCCTCATGGCCTCCCGTGGTAGTTGTGCCCCAGGCGACCGCGCACGCGTGCTCCGACCTTCTTCTCCATCTTCATGCTCCCCGGCAGGCCATCTTCAAGCTCCAACGGGCCAATGCCCTGGCGACCATCTTCGAGCTCGTGTGTTGCCCCGGTGGGCCATGCCCTGGTAGCTGCGCCCCCGGTGGGATTCTCCTCGGCGGCCGCACTCCCGACATGGGCCGCACCCCGGCGGTCGACAGGTCGCCTCCCAGCATTCTCCTTCCCCGATAGGCAAAGGGGCACATGTAATCTTTTAGGTCTATTAGGGTCCACTTGTGTTATATGAAGCTTAAATAAGTTATTTTTTTCAACTTCGTCCCACCCCATCCCTTTGTGAGAGCACAAAACAAAAGAAGCTTCACCCAAAACTGTTTTAAAACACATGTTTGAAAAAAAAAACAGCTCACAATAGTTCATGAAGTTGTTAAGTTGGTGAAGCTATGCAAACAGGGCCTTAATCATAAGTACGCGTGCATGCACGTGGAGTAATTTGCTAGACCACGCTACATAGCTAGAGACCGAGTACTCCTATATGTCTATCCTAACTTCTTAACACAGTCTATATTTGACGACCCAGCGCGCTATACTACACAGACTCCCGGCCGTACGTAGTCAGGCATGGCGATGGCACCTCCGTCATCAGGCGGCCTGGAAACCAAGCACTTCATCCTGGCTGCCCTCGCGGCAACCCTCGTCGCGGCGACGGTCGTCACCGTCGTCTCCGTGGTGCTGAGCCCGGCGCACCTAAGCTTCTCCGTCACCGACGCGCGCAACGACTTCACGAGCGACCCGGCGCGCCTGTTCCTCACCCTCGCCGCCCACAACCCCAGCCGACGCGCGGCGGTGCGGTACCAGAGCATCTTCGTCGACGTGAGCAACAGCAGCGGGGTGTGGGGGTTGAACTGGATGAGGGCCAACGTTTCGGCGGACCTGCCGCTGCACCAGCCGAGGCGCAGCGAGAGAAAGGTGAACGCGACGGTGTCCATGGTGGGGCTCGCCGGGGAGGAGTTCACGGGGAACAGGACCTGCCACAGCTTCAGCGTCACGGTCACCGCCGTGGCGCGGTTTAAGGTCGGCGTCGCGTGGACAAGGCTCTACGACATCAAGGTCTACTGCGGGAACGTCGACTTCTTCGGCAACGCGAGCACAAGAGCCGACTGCCAGCCTGCGGCTTAACGCTACACACATTGTCGTCGTTGTATTGGCATAATGGCATATGCATGTAAATCCGTGTTTGTGACTTTGTGTTATTACAGTAGCCTTGCCGTCTAATGGGACTTTGCCAAGTTTATTTGCTGGTTAGTACTAGTGTAATTTTCTCCTCTTTCATTTTGGCTATGCAGTATGCACCCTCATATTTCAGGATCGAGATAGTAGTAACTATTCAACTTTTAGTTCACTTTTGTGGGAAATTTTTCTATGTTAGCCGGTTCTCACTTCTCAGTACCCTCTCCTCTTTCGTAACACATGTATTTTGCACTCACCGCGCCGCTAGCTTCTCTCTCTCTACCCCCCACCCACCCACCCAAACGAACATAGGTCTCCCGGTCGTCACATTCTTTATCAAATCGTATACATGCATGCACATTCAACCTCAATCAACGCACACACCCGTACAGCCGTACTCTATCCTCGAGCATCCCATACGAACTGAGGCGATGGATCTCGTGATTGGCTAAGTCGCCACAAGTCCTTCGAGGTTACTTGCACGTCACCTACTACACACTGAAAGCATAGTAATGCTTTTCCTTTTACAAAACTCCCAAAAAATATATATGTTCAACCGCAACAAAATTAACTAGTTGTGCTGCACTTTGTTCATTCGCTACCTCCTCGTCCACCTTTTCCTCTTTCTCCTCTTGCTCATCCCACCAAACAATTAATGCTACCATCAAAATAGGCCACGATGGTTTAAAGTATGGCATGCACAGTCCTTATATTTCGAGATGGAGATGGAGGTAGTAGCCAGCAGCGGCGGATCTAGAAAATATTTTAGGCGGACTGAACAACACTGCTGTTCGATCTTAAGTCTCAGCCCCCTACACTATATAATTTTGTCTAAAAATTCATGGGGCTCCACAGGGGTTCAACTGCTGCGAAATGGGTAGGGGGGCTTGAGCCCCCCGCCCCACCGCTGTGTCCGCCCCTGGTAGCCAGTAGCTCCTTATATATCTCAACTTTCAATTCAATTTTGTGAAACCCCTACGTATTAGCTGGGACGATATTATATTTCTCCTACTCTACATACTCAATTTATTTTCACTCTAGCTTTCCTCTCCCTACAAACCTACCGTCACAACTCCTATCAAGTCAAATAGGAATTGCCACTTTTCTAAGAAAAAACATACTCTACTGTTTACCACTATAAACACCTCTGAGAGATAAGACCAACGGACATTAAGAATTGTAGGCGCCTCATTGTCCAATGACAACAAAAATACTTTTGTTCTTAGAATAAATTTAAGAAAATGCAATGACTAGACCCATGCAAGTTGAAGACTTCAATCTATTAGATAGTTTCCAAAACAAGGAACTTAATTAGCCGTGGTACACTCTGTTTTGTGATCATCCTCCTCATTCAATTCCTCTTCCTCCTCTTGCTACTTCTCCGGCAAATTAAAAGAACAAATGCTAAAAAATAGGCCACCATGGTGAATTTTTTTGAATAGAGCCTGAAAAAAGTCAGGACATACGAGTACTACCAAAGTCTATGCAATATTTTTTTTTCTGAAATAGGCCATGTATATGGTGTCATATATATTAGGTTGCGATAAGATGACAGAGATGATCGTCCGCTCGCAATATAATGTCTATTTTGTGTCACTAGCTAGTGATCTCATTCTTGAGTAATACTCCCTCTAGTCCATTTTAAAAGACATTTCGCATAGGTCACGAGTAAGTCCATTTTAAAAGACATTTCGCAAATATAATTTAGAAAACCGTGCTATATTAGATGTCTTATAAACTGGACCGAAGGGAGTAAGTACCACCATATATACCCCCATGATGTTGGAGCCTAGCTAGTTGCCAAAAATATCGTCCAAAAAAGTTAAGTAAATTAATTTTTATAGTTGTCTTAAGTCAAACTTCTTTAAGTTTTGGTCGAGTTTATAGAAAAAAGGGCATTAAGATTTATGGCACCAAATTAGTATTATTAGATTAGATACACCGCAAACTATATTTTTATAATGTGTCATTTGGTTTCATAATTTTTTGCATTTTTCTATAAATTTAGTGAAATATAAAAATTGACTTAAGAGAACTCTTAGAATTGATGTATTTAACGGACAGAGGAAGCATATTTATATAGACACTTGGCACCGTAAAGCATGCACAGGGACAGAGACCATTTGCCAAGGATCCGCTCAAATTTAGAGCAAGTATAATAGCAGGCTGTAAGCCGACTAAATGCTGAGGTGGAGGAGAGAGAGGAGGAGAGAGAGGAGAAGCGGGTTGTAAGCTTACAGCCGGTTTGGGCACAAGAACCAAAAAAGTATGTAAGAGAGACAAGTTAACCTTGTATTAACTATAAAGAGGTAACTACTATATGAGTGGGCTAAGATAAAACTGCAAGGAACCTTACAGCCAGCAAGCCAGCTGTATTATTAGCCTTGCTCTTAAAAGGCTATGCATGGAACAATGGGTATCCGAGCGGGCCGAGGAAAGGCTAATAATGGTTGGTCGGAAGAATCGAATAAAGCATCCAGATTGCCTCCATCATGAACCAGTTACGCGATTCCCATTAACGGTTTTTTTTTACAGAAAAGGGCAAGCAAGAGAACAAGCACTATTGCACTACTAACTCTTTATCTTTGTTTTTTATAACCTAGTATAAAGCATAAAAGCACTACTGAACTTGAACTAAGTATACTACTCACGGCTTTTAAGGGCATACCCTAGCAGTCCGTCGGTAGCCTGGTAGGAAACAACGCCACTCACTTTAACGAATGATCATTCCAAAAGCCATGCAAGGATCCGTGTTCATGACACCCATCTCAAAAGTGCCGTGTTCCTAATATTGAAGTTGAGCACATCTTGATAGGGTGGTGTTTACATTCAAATCAAAATAGATTATCAATCTGGATTGTTTTGAAAAAATCGGCAAGGCAAATATTACTTGGTGCGTTAGCTTCGTATCTGCGACCCGGGGAGGACTACTCTGGCTCATGTTGGTAGGCTAAGGCTATTTCCATGAGGAAACTGGCCTTGCTCAAGCCCAAGACCCTAGCATAGCAGGCTTCCAAATACGTGAGCTAGTTGGGCTTCATCTATTGGGAAAAGGCCAAGAACCCCACCTAAAAATAGGATGCTAAACTAAGGCCCCCATTTGGCACGGTTTCTCCACTAACTTCAGGAGTCGTTTAGATCCGTTTTATGCCAAACGGGGGAAAACAAAATAGTTTTACTCAGCAAGCCCCTTAAATCGTGCTCTCACAAAGGTTTAAGATGGGATGGAGCCAAAAATGGTGTCTTCACCCGGCTTGACTTCATTCTGGTAGGCCCTGTATGGGTTCTATGAGAGTATGTTTTAAGAAGCTCTACATGTGGAGCTATTTTGTCAAACGATTTACCAAAATAACTCTATCTTCATCAACAGAGCTGTTGATGGAGTTGACAAAATAAATAACTTCACTAGTAAAGTGGAGCCATGCCAAACTAGGCATAACTCTCAGTTTTCTCCCCCGCCCTGTGATATCCTATACTAGTACTTGCTTCAAACCATGGGAGCAAAGGAGATAAGCAAAGATTAACTAAGACTATTGGTCTATTGGATTGCAATGAGGAAGACTACAGAGGTAAAAGTACAATATATGGTTCAGAGGATCGAAAATCGTGTGAAAATGACGTGACAATAAACAAACAGACTATTTTATTTATTTTATCTAATTTGTTATAATCTGCTCAGGCTCGGTCGATTCAGATTCAGGAGGACCGGTACGTGGCCGACCTGGCCGGGTTGAACAAGGTGTCCTTCTAGGAATGGCATGTCTGGGTGGGGCACGGGTCGCACTGCTGCACCCACGAGACGTTGCTGCCGGTGTCCATGAGCATCGTCTGGGTCATCGCCGGCGTGCTCATGCAGTGATGCCCACGGTGACGACGTACTCCAAGGTGTTGCGGGAGGACTAACCCTACCATCAAGGGCTAGCTGTTGTAGTCCGCTGCAAGCCACTAAACCGAAAACATGAGTAGCTATCTGACTATCTCTGATCATTGACTAGCCAACCATGTTCTTCAAAATCCAATTGCATGTATTGTAGCTCTCGGCAACGTAGTCGCTTCATTGAACATGACAGATATATGTCAAACGGGGAATCTAACTGCCATGCATTTGAAGATCTTGCACCAAAACGGCCAACCATCATACAGGACCGCTCATCGCCTCACCACATAGGTCACTTGAGCAAAGCGCTTCCAATGTCCACCTCGTCCTGTGTCGGCCACTCTTGCCCACTTCATGAACATACATAGCCAGCGCACGGCTCTTTCATAACATAGCTCAACAATCGACACACAAAAGCCATCTATATGTCCTCTGGTCCATTTTAAAAGACATTTCGCATAGGTCACGAGTCAAACTTTATAATCTTTGATCAATAATTTGGCTAACTTTTACTCATTGCAATACAAACTTGATACTATTAGATTTGTAATCAAATATACTATTCAATAATCATAAACAATATGATATAGAATAAGTGAATGATCAAAATGTAATTTAGAAGACCATGCTATATTAGAAGATGTACTGTCTTATAAACTGGACCGGAGGGGGTTATTATCACCATATATACCCCCATGATGTTGGAGCCTAGCTAGTTGCAAAAATATCGTCCAAAAAAGTTAAGTAAATTAACTTTTAGAGTTCTCTTAAGTCAAACTTCTTTAAGTTTTGGTTGAGTTTATAGAAAAGGGCGTCAAGATTTATGACACCAAATTAGTATCATTAAATTAGATACACCGTAAACTATATTTTTTATAATGTGTCATTTGGCTTCATAAATATTTGTATTTTTTCTATGGATTTAGTTAAATATAAAAAATTGAGTTAAGACGACTCTTATAATTGATGTATTTAATGGACAGAGGAAGCTTATTTATACAGACACTTGGCACCGTAAAGCATGCACAGGGACATGGACCATTTGCCAAGGATCCTCACAAATTTAAAAGGC